ACATATATTTCCTGCTGTTGGCTGAGAAACCCCAGAGGCAATGATATCCAATAGCAATGAGCACACCTAGTGCCCAGACCGTGGTTTCTAATATCACTCTTTAAAAAGTCTGGCTCAGTGGACAGAGCTTCGGCCTGCAGACTGAAGGGCCCTAGGTTCGATTCCGGTCAAGGGCATGTACCATGGTTGTGGCACATCCCCAGTAGGGGGTGTGCAGGAGGCAGCTGATCAATGTTTCTAACTCTCTATCTCTCTCCCTTCCTCTCTGTAAAAATATCAATAAAATATATTTTTTTAAAAAAAAGGTGCCCCTGGCAGAAATGGCTGATTCTGGAGATGGGACAGGGTATAACTACAAGATGAACTTGAAATATCTTGTGGTGCCAGAAAGCAAGGAAATGCTAAAATAAAAATTTTTAAAGAACAACCCACTTTATAGATTATTAACTAGTTCTGAGCAGTTTAAACTCAGCTAATAAGATAACCACCTCTAAGAAAACTATACTAGGGTTGTCAGTAATTGAAGTAAGGATAACACACACAAATACATTATAAATTTTGCTATAACAAGACATAATGAATTAAGTTGGTAAGGGAAGAAGAATATTAGCTTAGGAAAACAAGCAAAATCAGATAAAAAGTTTTAAGATCAAGGCAAGATTTAGTTTTAAAATGTATGAAAATAGAATGAGTTCTACTATTACTAACAATTAAGTAATAGGAGGCAGAATTGATAATTCAGCTGAAAATCACTTACATGAAGTAAGAAGCCATAGTAATGAACTAGATAGTAAGGAGTTTACTGTGCGGAATCTCAGAGACTAAGTCATGGGAGGTTTTCACTCCATCATGGCAAGGTAGAGACTCTCCTAAGGGCTGACGGCCTCTAAGAAAAGCCAGACTGAAAGCTTCCCCTTTACCAAGAGCTCAGGACTGTCAGCTGAGGGAATGCCAACATTCTCACCAGAAGCAACACCACCCTTCCCTTCTTTCCCAAGGCACATGCTTCCTTTGCTTCTAAAGTCTATGACTCAAGATAAATATCACATGATCTCACTCATATGTGGAATATAATTTGATGAACTAGATCCAGAGACAAATGGTAGGAGGGGGGGAAGGATTAGAGAGCAACCAAAGGACTTGTATGCATTCGTATTAGCATAACCAGTGGACACAGGCACTGGGGCGGTGGGGGCTTGCCTGGGGTGGGAATGGCTGGCAGGGGGAGAGGGGAGTCAATTGGGGAAAAAGAAGACATATGTAAAACTTTAGACAATAATAAAAAAATAAAATAAAGTCTATGACTCCACTCTGGCTAGTGTGCTCAATGGTTAAGCACCGACCTGAGCACCAAAGGGTCTCAGGTTCGATTCCCAGTCAAGAGCATGTACCTGGGTTGTGGCTTGCTCCCTGCTGTCCAGAGGCATCCAATCAATGTGTTTCTTTCACAGCCCAGTTTCTCTCTCCCCTCTGTCCTCGGCCCACTGCCCTCTCCCTCCCTCCCTTCCTCTTCCCTGCCTTCTCACTCCCTCCCTTCCGCTCTCTGAAAAGCAATGGGGGGAAATATCCTCAGATGAGGATTAACAACAAAAATAAAAAAATAAATGTGTTTCTGAATCTCTTCTCAGATGTTTGTTTATTGTTACCCCTCTTATTTTCAAAGTGAAAAAAGGAACTATCAAATAATAATAAAGTCTATGAAACAAAAAACTATGATAGAGAAAACAAAAATTTCAATAGATTAAATGACCAAGTTAGAGAAATTGCCAAGAAAGTAGTATGAAAGTCATGAATGTAATTTCTAAATACTGATTTAACAACAACAAAAAGGAATAATAGCTATACCAAAAGGGAAGTGGAGAAAAGGAGTGACTTAAGAAAGCTAAATCCTGCCCGGCCGGTGTGACTCAGTGGTTGAGCGCCAACCTATGAACCAGGAAGTCACAGTTCAATTCCTAGTCAGGGCACATGCCCAGGTTGCAGACTCGATCCCTAGTAGGGGCATGCAGGAGGCAGCCAATCAATGAATCTCTCTTATCATTGATGTTTCTCTCTCTCTCCCCCTCTCTTTTCCTCTCTGAAATCAATAAAAGTATTTTTTTTAAAATAAAGCGCTAAATCCTCACCTGATATATAGTAGGAAATCAGTAGCTAATGTCTTAAAATGATGACTCGGGACAGAGGAGATGCATAATATGTAGTCAATGAGGTAAATACTAGAAAAAAAATAACAAAAAAATTAATAACAGAGTTGGAAGTGTTTGTCTCTGGTTTTTAAAGGGGTACATATATTCATTTGACAAAAGTCAGTTTTTAAAAAGTGATTTAAACTTGCCCTAGCCAGTGTAGCTTGGTTGGGTGGAGCATCATCCTGTACACTAAAAAGCTGTAGACTAGATCCCCAATCAGGGCACATACCTAGGTTGTGGGTTCAATCCCCAGTCGGGGAGTGTACAAGAGGCAACCAGTCAAACGTTTCTCCCTCACATCGATGTTTCTGTCTTGTCTAAAAATCAGTGACTATGTCCTTGGGTGAGGATAAAAAATATATATATTTTTAATCATATATGTATACATATTTTTTAATGACAAGTCTATTTGGCTTATGTATATAGATTAGAGATAAATTAATGTGCAGAAGTATAAGTTATAGGAGAGTTCTTACTTCCAAGTGAGCTTTGTTTTGAATTTATATTATGCATTACTTTAAATAATCATATGCAGATGGGCTTTTATAGAATGTGAGCAACATCTATTGATTTATCAATTTTTAAAGGATAACAATGAGTGATGAACATGTTAAGAAAATTAAAGTGTGGCTATTAAAAGAGTTATGAACATTTATAATTACTTAAGGAATTTTTTAAAAAATTATTTCGACCTAATTACAAGCACCCAAGAAAGAACATTTTCCAGCAGGGGATCCTCAAGTTCACTGCACTTCACAGGTGTCGAATGGCGGGTCAAAGTAGTCACTGGGTCACAAGCCTTTCCCACGCCTCACAAGCACCAGAGCCTTTCTAGGGCGTGGACTGGGTGAGAGCACCTAATAAAAACTTTTGGATAGATAGAACTTGTTAAAGGAACAAGTTCAAAATCATCTCCTCTACCAAAATTTGCCAAAAGTAACTTTATGAAGTCAAGTCTTCAAAGGTCAATCCTACTTCAAGAACGTTAGTTTCTTCTCTAGCATTTTTTTGCACATAAAGACAACTTCCGTTTATCATGTGTGTAGGACTGTCCCACTATGTTAAGTGACAGGCTTTTAGAGAACAGCGACAACTCAGAAGCATGTTGATAACTGCTATCTCTGTTCAAGTTTATGTATTTTATAGCTTTAAAATCGAGAAGTAAAATAACCTAATTCATTTATCATTTGCTCATCTTTCAGCAAACCACAACTTTTCATCATATCCTATTAGATTGATTTGTGTTGGATACACATAGAATGACTGCATCTTGATTACAGACTCCCAGTTCTGAGCGGTAACAGACTTTGGTGATTTGTGATGATTCACAATAGGCATTTTTCAAAAGACCCAATTTCATTTTGTAGATTTACACTCATCCACAAATAAAATGTACAAAGCATTACAAGTCATTGATTTTATTCCTAACCAGATCTGTACTAACCACATCTTATTAAATTAGCCAGATCTGTACCGATGGAACTGAGGTTAGCATCCAAGTCTCAGTCCATGCTCCGTGTTGATGTTCAACTGAATTCACAATAATCCAAAGAGGGCTTCAAAACCTGTGAGAAAACTGCAAAAAAAATAAAAAAAAAGAGTTGTGTTTTAGAAAGGCTGAGGTCTGGCTGGTATGGGTTGATGGTTGAGCGTGACCAGGAGCTCACGGTTCGATTCCTGGTCCAGGCACATGCCCAGGTTGCAGGCTCGATCCCCAGTTGGGGGCGTGCAGTAGGCAGCCGATCAATGATTCTCTCATCATTGATGTTTCTATCTCTCCCTCTCCCTTCCTCTCTGAAATCAATAAATACATATTTTTTTTAAAAAGAAAAAAAGGCCTTTAGAAAAAAAAAAAAAGGTTAAGAACATGACCTGAGTGAAACATATGCCTGGGACTTAGCTGGCCCAGAAGCCCTCAAAGAAAAATAAATGACATGTCAGGCTTGGTGCAGAGACCAGGTTGTTTTCAAATTTGAAGCACTTTGCAGTTAATTACTCAGAGCCACTTAATTATATTATTCCTATTTGTTTCACCTGATTTTATCTTTCTTTAGTCTCTTCTGCCTAACCACAGGCAGAGGATTCTCCCTCCCCCACACAGGGAAAGGTGAACTATTTATCACTATTTCTACTCTTTAGCTCAGTGTTCAAGCAGCCCTTTCCTTACAGTATCCCCACCTTCACTCCTCTTATCTGAGACTTCACTAACATTTAACTAGCGAAGTTTGCAAGGGTCTTGCTTAAGTGTCTTCTGTGAATTACCAACTCTGGCCCCCCAAATGAAGTGGGAGAACTAACCCGAACTAATCCTCTAAGTCAGTGGTTCTCAACCTTCCTAATGCAGTTCCTCATGTTGTGGTGACCCCCAACCATAAAATTATTTTCGTTGCTACTTCATAACTGTAATGTTGCTACTGTTATGAATCGTAATGTAAATATCTAATATGCAGGATGTATTTTCATTGTTACAAATTGAACATAATTAAAGCATAGTGATTAATCACAAAAACAATATGTAATAATATATGTGTTTTCCGATGGCCTTAGGCCACCCCTGTGAAAGGGTCGTTCGACCCCCAAAGGGGTCGCGACCCACAGGTTGGCGACCCACAGGTTGAGAACTGCTGCTCTAAGTGATGTGCCTCATCTCTTAAATACAATGAGACCAAATGGGCAAGAAGGGACTATGTCTGCTATGGTGTAAGTCACAGGGGAAGGCAAATTCTAGAAGCTAAAGTTGTCCAATGAAGAATATCTGCCCTTCTGGACATTTCACTACTGTTTACCCACAAACAAGGGAGAAATACACTGTGCCATCTACTCAGCCTTTACTTCCAGAAAGACAAAGATTAGAATAAAGACTGCCAGATCTGTACCTATAGAATGAAACATCATCTGAACTCCAGAACTACCAAAGAAAAAGCCAGAAAAAGATAACTAGTTTGCCAACTGTTCTTGACCCACTTTCAACCAAGTCAGTGTAATCGCTAGTCTGAAGTCAGCCTGTTTAGCAGCCGCTCAAGGAATTAGTTCAGTTCTTGGAATGACTTAAGTGGTCAATTCACAGCCCAGAGTGAACCCAAACCTTCAGTTTCATTTGTAAAACACTTCATATATACCAGGCGCTGTGCTAAATGGCATCTCATCACATTTAACCTCCTGAACAACTCTGAGTAGCATTACTGTCCATCTTCAGAGAGAGCAAGGTCACCGAGCAGGTAATGATGAGAGAAGCTGAACTCAGGCCTGTCCAATGTCAAAGCCCTTAAGCTCCTTTTAAGCTGTATCACTAATCAGGGCTGAAAACTGTGTTGGGCAATAGAGGCCACTATGCATCAGACTGACCTCTGACATGGGAAGACCACCCACTCTATGTAGAAGAGTCCACTGCTACCGCTTGTTACTCTCTTTCCTTATTCTACTTTATCCTAGCAGTTATCTCCAAAAGCACACTCATTCATTGAACAAAGACTGATTGTGCTTCTACTGTATTCTAGGCACTGAAAACACAGCAGTGAACTAGACACACAACCATCTCTACCCTCACAGAGCTGACATTTACTTAACTTACTCCTATTTGTCTCCATAACAAAATCTCCATATAATACATCTTGCTTACTATACATTTCCAGCACCTAGAACAGCTTCTGGTACGTGGGTTCAACAGACAGCAATTCCATCCATGACATCCTCAGCAATGGTGTAGAAAACTGGTCAAACAATTCACCAAACGGGTTTGATTGCCATGCAGAGTTCTTTATAGTGCATTGTCTTAGTGCTATACTATAAAGTTCTATAAAATTTTAAATAAAATCTTTAAGACATTCCATATTTTTAAAATGTAGAAACAAACCAAGTTTACTCATCTTTAAGAGTTAATTTTTCTGGGTAAAAAAAAAACACACCCCAGTGAGATAGCCAGAATACTATATATAAGGCAGTAAATGCAGATGAGGAAAAAAAAGAATTTTAAAATATTTATTTGCAAAATAAAAATAAAATAAAATAAAATAAAACTAATCTGAATCAGGTTCCTTCTTCTTTCTTCTTGACCCTTTGGAGGAAGTCCCAGGCGCTGTCCTGTCTCTGCCATGCTCAGTCCGCTGTGTCAGCCACTCCTTCTCCAGCTGTTTCAGCATGTCTGCAGTGAGGAGTCCTTGCTGCACCAACCTGGAAGCAAGGGATTTCTCTTCCGCACTGGGGCTGGGTGGCTCAGCAGCTTTATACCCTAAAGTTTTGGTACCGCGCATCCTTCTTGCTTGGCTCTTCAATGTTCCTGGCAAACGAGACCGGCTGTCTGCTGACACATTCTCCAAATTCAACAGCCTTTGTGCCTCTGAAATTTTAATCAGTTTGGTGATGTTGTGTACACCCTCTTGGATAATGCCATCTAGCTCTTTCTGCAGGTCTCGAACAAGGCTGGCATCTGGAAACATATCTATAAACCGATAGCTGGGAAAAAGACATTACATTATAGCAACAGCTCTTATCACAGTCGCTGAACTACTACAATAATATCAATGACGAAACTACATCTTGACACTGATTAATTCTAAATGTTGTTTATGCAAAATTTGTTTTGTCTTTGCTCAACTTTTACTTCTGCCCCAACACATCTGAGGAGTACATCATTATGAGGATGGGTCACCACTCCCCCCGACCTGATTCCAATATGCCCCTCGTGGGACATGCCCCCCCTTTGAGTTACTGAGCTAGAACGGTACAGCAGGCCCTCCAATAACGTCGCCTTGTATAACACTGTCTCATCATAACACTGATGAGATGCTATAGGAACTTAACTCTGGTTTATATCGATTAGCCTCTGGTAAAATTGGTTTTGTTATACATTCTTTTGCTTAAAGTCGCAAGACCATTAATTGAGGATTTTAATTAACCTCTCAAATGTTAACATATAAATGAATCACCTGGGGAATATAGTTAAAATGCAGAATTTGATTAAGTGTGATATTCTCTATTTCTAATAAGCTTCCACCCATTGAGTAGCAAGGATCTAGCGGACCTTCTCACCCACCCATCTTAACGAGAATCCTAAGAATGCTTTAAGTCATTTTTGGAATGGGGATTAACTAGGCTCAACTGCCTTTATGGACAATAAACATAATATAGAGCACCCTGCAAATATGTGCCTAATATGAAAGAGCAAAAGACCCTTCATAAAACCTTTGATTTTCCCTATTACTTTATAAAATGAGAGCACATAAAGGAAATATTTGATACCTTAGCCACAGGTAAAGATCCAAGACATCATGGACAGCTTCAAGATCCATGAGGTCTTTAATATTATTAGGAGGATGTAATGGCCATTTAATATATCGGCGTAACCATGCAAAGGTCAAGGGCTCGTTCCTGCTATACTGCCTGGCAAACTGAGAGAAGCAGAAGAAAAGGAATCAGACTCACTTAAGCCTGTGATTAGAAATAAAAGGAAGCACAAGAAATGTTAACTGTGATTGTGTTTCAATAGGCAGGATGCTTTCTTTCCTTCTTTATACTTTTCTGTATTTTAAAGAACATTTAATATTTTATAAAGGTAACTTTTTAAAAGGTGGGGGAATGACATCCTTCTTTTTACAAAATCAATCCTGAGAGGCCATCAATGGCTCTTTTGAAGTTCAGCAATAATGGAGATCAAGGAAAAATCTCTAGATTTCACATTCTCATCATTAAACAGAACACATAAGCAACTGTTAAACTGTCCTTTCTCCTTAGTAAGTGCTTCTGCTTCATTAGAATAATTTGAAGAATGGTGTAAATGGGTTCAGACATGGGCTCAAACTCCATCTACGTCAGTCTGCAGCATTTAAGACCTCTGTTCCATAAACATCAACCTTACGCTAGCTAACTCTCTAACAAATGCCAGCTCTAAGAAACATATTTCCTAGGTAAATACCTGGACAGGGAAGACCTCTAAGACATAATAAGGGAAAAAGAAAACAGCAAGTTGCAGAAAAATTCATTATAGCATTTATGGGAAAACACCCCCACAACAAAACTAGAATTCCTACATGTATACCTATGTAGGCAAATGCAACTGGAAAGGTCTGCAAGATTACATACGAACTGATAATAGTTATGCCATAGAACTAATATTGGAGGAGGTAGCCCAATTTATCCTATCGTAATGTTTTAATTTTGTGCAAAGAGAAAGTATTTCTGTATTATTTATGTAATTTAAAAATAATTTTGAATTTAGAAATAGAGTTGATAAAAACGGAGCTAATATGCAGAATGCTAAGGTCTATAAAGAAATGGCAGCGGAACTACAACCATGAGTCAGGAAGAGATTCAGAGAGGAGACCTTTGGGTTTAGTGTGCTGACAAGGGAGAGCAAGGGCCCAGAGAGGTGAGGACACAGCGTCCACTGCCCTTCCCGGGCCCTCTGTTTTGGTGACTTCTGTGCTCCTCAGAATTGTATCCCTACTCACATGAGTGAAAATAAAAGGAACCAGAACCCTGGCACCAAATTCATGCAAGACAACATTCCCTGGCTCAGTGTCTTATGGTTAAGAAAACTGAATACTATTGCCACTACTAAACCCCTGGCCCCTCCCTTCCAAAAATATTACCCATCACCAATAAGGAAAAAGTGTATCATCAGGCAAAGACCCCCTTCCCTTGAAAAAAATTGTATTTAATTATTTTTGTTTTAGCTTCTTCACAAAGGCTACCACATAAGCCCAAATACAAAGCAAAAAATTATTTGTAAGAAAAAGAGAGTCACTTTATATTTAAGTTCTTACATATTATCTCATATTAAAGGACAGTCTCCAACTGTTTTGAGTAACAAAGTACTGTTTGGGGAAAATACCTAAACCAAAAACAACTCAAAATATCCTAAAGATGCAGGCTTACCTGTAACAGTGAAGAGCAGACGAAAGGCTGCTTCTTGTTGATAGGGGCTGTGCAGAACACATACCTTACTCGCAGGCTTAATGGAATATGCTGGATCAACTCTGCAGAAAACTTAAAATCATCCAGATTGCAGACAAAATACTGCCCATCAACTTGTGAAAAGTCTACAAAAATATCCTAGGGGGGAAAAAAGACATATTAAATTACTGGACTGCCTAAATAGGCATGAATAAAGTACTCACATGTACAAACGACAACCTCTTTAACCCATAACAGACTTCTAGAAAGGCCTGCTTTATTCATTGCCCCCTCAAGCTAATAATTCCTCCATAACCTTCCCAAGCTAAAATACTCAGACAAAAGTCCCAAACGATTTTGAAAGTTTTTACTTTCGCCGTAACTGGTTTGGCTCAGTGGATAGAGCGTCGGCCTGCGGACTGAAAGGTCCCAGGTTCGATTCCGGTCAAGGGCATGTACCTTGGTTGTGGGCACATCCCCAGTAGGGGGTGTGCAGGAGGCAGCTGATCTATGTTTCTCTCTCATCGATGTTTCTAGCTCTCTATCTCTCTCCCTTCCTCTCTGTAAAAAATCAATAAAATATATTTTTAAAAAAAAAAAAGTTTTCACTTTCAACATAAACTTCATATATAGCAACTTCACAAAAACAGCCTATCCATTCATTCCCATGAGGTTAACTAGTAATTATCTGACGTATCAACATTTTTGTTTTTTATTTTCTTTTTGAGCATTTTTATGAGTTTATTTGAGCCAAAACTGATGACAGTTGCAGGGAAGCAAGGTTTCAAATACTCCAATTTTTTATTTTTCAATTATAGATGTACAATATTATATTAGTGTACAACCCAGGGATTAGACATTTAATAACTTATGAAGTGATCATCCTGATAAACCTAGTACCCATCTGACACCATACATGGTTATTAAAAATTATTAAATTCCCCTTGCTGTACTATATATCCCCATGACCATAATTACCAATTGGTAGTTCTTTTTTTTTAAAATATATTTTATTGATTTTTAACAATAAAATCAATACCCTCCCTTACAGAGAGGAAGGGAGAGGAATAGAGAGTTAGAAACATCCATGAGAGAGAAACATAGATCGGCTGCCTCCTGCGCACCCCCTACTGGGGATGCGCCTGCAACCAAGGTACATGCCCTTGACCGGAATCGAACCTGAGACCCTTCAGTCCTCAGGCTGACACTCTATCCACTGAGCCAAATCGGTTAGGGCCAATTTGTACTTCTTAATCCCTTCATCTTTTTTACCAATTCCCCCAACCCCACTCCCATCAGGGAACTGTCAAAATATTCTCTATATCTATGAGTCTGTTTCTGTTCTACGTGTTCATTTATTTTATTTTTAGATTCCACATATAAGTGAAGTCTACAGCATTTGCCTTTCTCTTTCTGACTTATTTCACTCAGCAAAATACCCTCTAGGCCAGCCGTGGGCAAACTACGGCCCCTTTGAAATGAATAAAACTAAAAAAAAAAAGACCGTACCCTTTTATGTAATGATGTTTACTTTGAATTTATATTAGTTCACACAAACACTCCATCCATGCTTTTGTTCCGGCCCTCCGGTCCAGTTTAAGAACCCATTGTGGCCCTCGAGTCAAAAAGTTTGCCCACCCCTGCTCTAGGCCCATCCATGTTGTTGCAGATGGCAAGATTTCGTTCCATATGGCTGCGTCATATTTCATTGTGCACATGCACCACTTCTTCATCCACTCATCTCTCGATGGACACAGAATCAAAGGACAGATAAAGAGCTTCCCAGACAAGAAAAAGCTAAAGGAGTTCATCATCACTAGACCAGTATTACAAGAAATGTTAGAGTCAAGAAGAAGAAAAAAAAAGAAAGAAGAGGGAGAAGAGAAAGAGGGGAAAAAAGAAAATATCAAAAACATAAATACAAATGGATTAAATGCTCCAATCAAAAGATGCATGGTAGCTGAATGGATAACAAAAGACCCTCACGTTTGCTGCCTACAAGAGACTCACTTCAGAGAGAAAGACACATATACTCAAAGCAAAGAGATGGGAAAAGGCATTTCACAAAAAATGGAAACAAACAAAAAGGTGGGGAAGCAATACTTATACCAGACAAAATAGACTTTAAAACAAAGGTTATAACAAGAGACACAAAAAGACCCAGCCAATGCCACTTTTGGGTACTGTATTTATCTGAAGAAACCTAAAACACTAAATCAAAAAAGACATGTGCAGCCATGTGCAAACATATTCATTGCAGTATTGTTTACAATAGCCAACATATCAATACTTTTGGAAAGGGACTTAAAGTGATTTCCTACTTACAATGAGATTAGACAGTGTTGTATCAGGCAGATGGTAGGCAAACATTTCAATCTGTTCAGCAGTTGGATGAAGACCAGCTGCCTTTAGTAAAAGAAAAAAACAATCATAAGCTTATTTTTAAAAAATATATTTTTATTGATTTCAGAGAGGAAGGGAGAGGGAGAGAGAGAGAGAAACATCAATGATGAGAGAGAATCACTGATTGGCTGCCTCCTGCACGCCCCCTACCAGGGATCGAGCCCACAACCCCGGGCATGTGCCCTTGACCGGAATAGAACCTGGAACCCTTCGGTCCGCAGGTCGACACTCTATCCACTGAGCCAAACCAGGTAGGGCAAGCTTATTTTTTTTAAAGGAGAAGTTTTCCTAAGTTAATTCAAAAATAGTCTTGAGTAAAGAATTTGAGTAAAATAGAGAAAAGCATCATCATTTCCCCATTTATTACCAATTTAAAAAGCTAATGAGATGATTTAATAAAACTAACCAATTATACCCACTGAGTAGTCAATGGGTATTTTATTCACATTTTAGTTATACAGTGTCTGACACATAAATACATGAAAAATGTCTAAACTGGAGGTCAGGTATCTCTTTAACTGTATACTGCAGTGTTCCCGGATGCCTACAGGTGAGTATAAGCTGGGGGGGAAGGGAATGGGAAAGAGGATAGGAGAGCGATGTCAATCACGGTCGGAGGAAGAGAATGAGCACAAGAAATGAGGTTCTGTGCACACGAGGGAAATGGTGTGTCATTACCAACTGCACTCAACAAAAGCTACAGAAATTATTTCAACCTCAGCTTCCCTCTAAAAACTTTTCCTTGTGTTATCTCACTTATATTCCCCTTTGCCCAGGGCCACTGAAAAATGAAAAGAGCCACATTTAGAAAGATTTCCAGGCAACTTTAAATTCTAACAGTTAGGCCCAGCTGGTGTGGCTCAGTTGGTTGAGCATCAACCAGGAGGTCACAGTTGATTATGGTCAGGGAACATGCCTGGGTTTCGGGGTCCATCCCCAGTAGGGGGGCGCAAGGGAGGCATCCAATTGATGTTTCTCTCTCATCATTGATGTTTCTCTCTCTCTCCCTCTCTCTGAAATCAATAAAAACATATTTTTTAAAAAACTGTAACAGTTAGTTTGTTGAAAATATGTACACTTCTGTCTCATTAACTACATTTGTCCTTATTGGCTCACAATTGTGTTGCTTAGTGCTGTTTTTGCCCCACACTAAAGGGTTTCTTCTACATTCAAGCTCCTGATAAGTTTCAGTCTACTTACATAGCTGAGTGCCCACCTGAAGCAACTGTGCCCCTGCCCCCACCTTCTGCTTGATTATAGGAAGAACGAAAGGAAGTTAGGTTCACTAAACTTTTCAATCTGGATTTTTCACCTGCACACCATTCTCAACCAGGAGTCTCTATTCTTCTCCAAAGCAATAAAGTAGGGCTTGCTTGCTTTCTTTCTTTCTTTAATATATTTTTATTGATTTCAGAGAGGAAGGGAGAGGGAGAGAGAGAGATAGGAACATCAATGATGAGAGAGAATCATTGACCGGCTGCCTCCTGCATGCCCCCCACTAGGGATCGAGCCTGCAACCCAGGCATGTGCCCTTGACCGGAATCAAACCCAGGACCCTTCAGTCCACAGGCCGATGCTCCATCCACTGAGCCAAACCAGCTAGGGCAAGTAGGGCTTTCTTGACATAATTTTCATGGTATAAAATTTCTCTTTTGTTACCGCCTGTCTGAGGCAAGAGTCTGGAGGGAGGGTGAAGGATGGCATGACTGTCCTCCAAAGGGGAGTAATTAACCTTACCTTTATAGGATCGACAGGCTTATTCAAAATCTCCTTTAATAAACGGAGGTCTTCTCGATTCATTGTTGTAACCTCTCCTTCTTTATATTTCGAACTGAATCTACCAGCTCTGCCAGCAATCTGCAAGGCTTGAGAAGTGGTGATTGGTTCTAGTTCCTTCTCTCCCTTTTCATTGATACTGGGCTTTATAAGGGAATAAAAAATAATTCTTCTTATGCTCCTGAAATAGAAATAAAAGTGATCTCACAGATGAAAAACTCTCCATGACTGGGTCACTGCAGAAACGCTCACTCAATTCTACGTTAGACTACTTGCAACCTTGCCCGCTGTTTTCAAAATAAGAAAAAGAGGTTTGTTGGTAATTCTTTCTTCCCTTTAAATAGTATTTTTCAACAACTGTGTAAATTTACTAGAATTTATCAACTTGTACTTTTACAATGGGTGAACTGTATAGTATGTAAATTATACCTCAATAAGGCTACAGAAGATAACTTTTTTTTTTTTACAAATAAACCACATAGTGTTCTCATAGTGTTGCCTTTTTTAAAAAATGTATCTTTATACTTCAGAGAGGAAGGCAGAGAGAGATAGAAACATCAATGATGAGAGAGAATCATTGATTGGCTGCCTCCTGCATGCCTACTGAGGATGGAGCCCGCAACCCGGAATTGCCCATGAGGCATGTGCCCTTGACCGGAATTGAACCCGGGACCCTTTAGTCCGCAGGCCAACGTTCTATCCACTGAGCCAAACCAGCTAGGGCTCAAGCTGCTTTTATAAGCTGGATATTAACAGTTTGAATAGTTTTTTTGATTCATTCCCCAGAGAGGAATATTTAGGCTTAGTACTGTTATCCTTACAGATAATAGTTAGCCCTACAAGCACAGTAGGCACTCACACACCTTGTCAACTGAGAAACTAAAAGTAAAGTAAGGTAATATAACAGGATAGCAGTGGTAGGGAGCAGCACTCCAAGTCCGAGCTATGTGATACTTTCTTTTTACTCCCTTACCAGGTGTAAGCAAGGTAAATCTCAGATCTATACGGTAATACCCATTCTCCAAAGTGGTCATTCTAATGCCAATTAGAAAATTTTTAATTGCCATCTAACCCACTGAATAGCCATGATTGTTAAAAAAAAAAATCACTTACAAATTAAGTCCCATGCCAATTGCATCTGTAGCAACCAGGATTTTGCATGGATCATCAGGATCGTTAAACTTTTTTGCTTGAGCAAGTTTGGTCCCTAAAATAAGAAGTTTATGTTAAATCAGTGTTCTCAATCTTTACTGTATCACACTAAGTGTATCTTAAAAACCCTCACCCCCTACTTTCTATTTTTATGGATAAGATTCTTATTGTTTCAAGGTTATTTCTTTATATCCTCAAAGAGCTACTTATCCTTTATTTCCACTCTTTTAAATATCCCCACATACAGCAACACAATCCCACACCACACCAGCCTTCTCACTTCTGAAGACATGTAGTAACAGATTTCAGGACTACAATTTGAGGAATATTACTCAAGTTCATGGGTAATGACATTTTTGTAAAAAACTCTTTAATTCAAAATTTAAAATAACAGCAAATAATAAGAGCTAGAAATAATTAAAATATTTCTATCCCCACCAAGATAAACTAGAGAAATACTTATTTTATATGACCTATAACAAATAACTAATATATCAAGCATCTTAATTCAATATCTTTTATTGTGTTTTCTATACATATTCAACATAAACTGCAAAAATAAGATTTACTATTCTCTCACGATGAAAGCCAGTAATTACCAGGTGGGAGACTGCCATATATAACAGCTGATTCCAATCCCCGAATTTCAATCTGTCGACTCACAGAATAAATATCATTCTTGCTAAAACAGACAATGCAGTCCCCAGGCCGAAGGTTGTCTAAAGATTCTAATGCATGATCCAGCACAGAAATGGGTGTAAGCCTTGTATAGTTTCGAACCTTTAATAAAGATACAATATTGTAAAATAACACACCAAACTCAATTTCATGTAACTAACAATTAAATGAAAAACTTGCTAAAAGCTAAAAACAAGGTCCATTGTTTTTCAAAGGGAAATACAGAAAAGCATTTATTTTAATATTCATTGTATTTCTAAATTAACTAAATGCTAAACAGCGTTTCATAAATTTTTCAAAGCACTTTCATATACATGTGATTTTCTTTTTCCCCTCATTGATTTTAGAGAGAAACATCGATGTGAGAGAGACACATCAATTGGTTGCCTCCCGCACATGCTTTGATCGGGGCCAGGGATCAAGCCTGCAATCAAGGTGTGTGCCCTTGACAGGAATGGAACCCACAACTCCTCAGTCCAAGGGAGAACACTAACCACTCAGCAACTGGCTAGGGCTACATTTGATTCTCATGGCAACTTTATAAGTTCAGAAGGGTTATTCACTGTTCTTTTCTTTTATGAAAAAGTAAGAGAGAGCCCTATAAAAGATCAGGTCTGAAGAGGATTTTCCCGGTTCTAGCCTTCTACAATCTGCCTAAGAATACAAAACTAGTAACAGCAAAGCCAAGACTAGAACCCAGAATTTCTTCTACTACATTTCTCTCCCTGAAAGCTGAATACAAAACTAAAGTAATGGACCCATTTTTAAATATTTCTTCATCTTATTATAGAACTCTGGTAAAGAAAACAAAAAGTAGGATTAAAAGAAAACCAATTACTTCTTACTCTAAGAATTTGAAAAGGGATACAAACTATTTCTAGCAATTAGATGTATATCAAAGGCCCCAATTACCTGACATCCGAGACTTTAAAAACCACAAGCTTTTGCCCTGGCCAGTGTGGCTCAGTTGGTTGGAGCAATGTCCCCGTACACCGAAAGGTGGCAGGTTTGATTCCGCCAGGGCATGTACCCAGGTTGCAGGTTGGACCCCTGGTCAGGTGGAGGCAACCGATATATGTTTTACTCTCACATGGATGTTTCTTTCTCTCCCCTCCCCCACCATTCCTCTCTCTAAAATCAATAAAAATAAAGAAAAATAAAAAGCACAAACTTTTCCTGAACCTCAAACTTCCAATATTCCTGACTTATTTAATTCTAAAGAGATCTGCTGAAACTCCAAAAGTTTTCATCAAAAGAATATGAAGCATCTCCTGTACTTTTAGGAGACTTAGGGTAAGATGGCCACTCTGTCAGAACTCCAAATATGAGGTTAAATCAATTATGTATTACCTAGTCAACTACGAGGAAATAAAGCTTTCTTTCTAGTTAAGTTCTGATTTACCACTACCTGGGGCCTATGAAGCCACTGCCTGGGTGCTCTGGGCTATTTGCTATGCCATCTTGAGAACAAAGCATATAATCGAGTACCTCCACTTCCTCCCCAGTCGTGTACAAAAGCTCAGTAACCAGGTCAATAGCAGCAGCTTCTCCACATAAATGAACCTCTTCAGCACACAGTCCTGTTAAATGCAAAATCACAAGTTAAAAAATTTTAAAGACATAAAAGTAAATATGCAACACTTTACACAGCAAACAATATATGTATTTTTAATCCTCACCCGAGAACATTTTTTAAATTGATTTTTAGAGAGAGAAACATTGATGTAGAGAAAAATCAATCTGTTGCCTTCCCTTCGCTCACTGACTGGGGAGGGAACCCCCAACCTAGATATGTGCCCTGACCAGGAATCAAACCATAACCTTTTGGTGTATGGGACGACACTCCAACCAACCGAGCCACTAGGCCAGGGCTAGCAAAAATATTTTAAGTTTGTTTCCATTGCTTTACAACATTACAAAATGTTTTCATAAATATTATCTCTTTGATTCAAACCTCAAAACAGTAATATACTGGGCAAAGATTAACTACATTTTTATAAACATCAGGGCTTTTAAATTGCTTTGGCCAAGGTGTTGAGTCTAGAGGGTGATGTCACCAGGACTGGTACCTGGCATTTTGTGATTAGTACTGAACATTAGCCTCCATGGAATCAGTGAGGTGCCTCAGAGGCTGGGGCTGGAGGGTAGAAGGAACTCCAATCTCCTTACCCCTTAGCAGATCCGCTTTCATCCATTTTACATTAAGGTTTCAATGAATACTCTTTATCTGGAAAAGAGTTCAGCTGTTTGTTTTTAAATCTGAGAACACCTGTCCTACAATATGCTGGTCAAAAATTCACTCCAGCTCTGGCCAGATAGCTTAGTTTAGTTAGAGCATCGTTCCAATACACCAATGTTGTAGGTTCGATCTCTGGTCAGGGCACCTACAAAGAATCAACCAATGAGTACATAAATAAGTGGAACAACAAATTAAAGTTTCTCTTTCCATCTCCCTGCCCCCATCAATAATTTTTTTAAAATTTTAATTCACTCCAATTATCAAGCATTAGAAATATTCATTCATGTCCATGGACCTCAAAAACTCCACTTCTAGGAGCCTATCCTAAAGAAATAATAAAATATATGAATAAAAAGCTATGGCCACAAGGATTTTTACTGCAGCATTATTAATAACATAATAACGTTATTCCAAAAAAATTTCGGAAACAACAGAACTGAAAAAAGATACAAAATTATATAGTCACAAAACTGGCATTAAACACACCAAATCTTAATAATGGTTGTACATATGGTGAGATTTGAATATTTTAACTTTAATTAAGTGGTTATGCTAATTTCATAATGGGAAAAAGACTTCCCATTATTTAAATAATATTTAGAAAATAAAACTGAACACTTAGCTGACTTTTTTGTTTGATTTGTGTCAAAAAGAAAGAATCTAGCTGGCTCTACTTGGCAACGTCCAGCAGATAATGCATCTCCGTGCAGATGTCACAAAGCACAGGTTTTCAGCATTAAGACCACCAACCTAGAAGTGCTCTGGTCCAGGCCCATCCTCTGGCTGGGTCTTTAATCATTTGAATTTCGTCAATCACAGCCACTTCATCTTAAAATAAAAAGTTATCATGAGCAACATAAGTACTTAAATAGTATTGCAAACAAATTACAACACCAACATTCAAGCTTTCATCACACCAGTCATCATCCCCACTGATCACTCAGTGCTTCTTTCCTGGCAGTCTTGTTCTCAGGGCTTTACAATTATAACTCATTTAATCCTCACAACAAATATAAAAGGAAAGTCATCATCTTCTTCATTTTACAGAAAAATAAACTGAGACCCAGAGAAGTTAAGTCATGGCCCAAGGATACAGTGTGTACAGGTAAGTGTAAGATCAAAAAAACATGGAATTCCAACCCAGGCCATCCAGCTCCAAAGTCCGGACTGTTAACCACTCTACTGCACTGCCTCACACATTAAGCAGGTTCATTTGTCCTATTTCTGCAATCTCAGGGGCAATGAGAACTAACACACCTGCACAGCAGTAAGAGGAAAAAGTATCTATGCTCCCAGGAACCAGGAGCAGATAGCCCACAGTAAATGAAGCATCTCTGTCACAGGAGCCCAGACAGGTGTGAGGACCAGAAAGTGGAGTGGAAAGTGCAATCCCCTGAGTTCCAGCAATGCTCATTCTTAGGGAACTTAAGCTCATCACTACGGCAAAAATTAGTGCCGAATTTTATTTTAATGCTTCCAACCATATTACTTTATTATTTTTTAAGTCATATTAATTATATTAATTTTCTTCTCAAAATACCAAGGAGTTAAGAGCACATTAAAATTTTTAAAAATGTAATATGCCTGCAAAGACATTTAAGAAACAAAAGAAAGTTATTTTTATACTGAAAAACCATCAGATTAAAATTTACTTATTGCATCTGGGCATATACAAACAAGACAAAACTAGAGTTCAACACTACCAAACAAGTATTACAAGAAATGTTAAAGGGTCTTTTTTAAGAAGAAAGAAAAAAGAAAAGATCAAAATATGAATAATGCCCATAAAAAAAAAAATGAAATCTTACTGTTTGTGACAGCATTGGTGTTATGCTAAGTGAAATAAGTCAGTCAGAGAAAGACAAATACCATATGATTTCACATATATGTGGAATCTAAAGAACAATATAAATGAACAAACAAAACAGAAACAGACTCATAGATACAGGGAACAGACTATGACTGGCAGAGGAGAGGGAGATCAGGGGACCGGGTCAAAAAAAGTGAAGGGATTGAGAACTACAGATGGGTAGTTACAAAATAGTCACGGGGATATGAAGTACAGCACAGAAATAGAGTCAATAATAGTGTAATTAATTGGTATCAGTTGGGTACTGAAAATATCACGGAGAACACTATATAAAGTATATGACTGCTGCCCAGCAGGTGTGGTTGAGCGCCAACCCATGCACCAAGAGATCACCTGTTCAATTCCTGGTCAGGGTGCATGTTCAAGTTTCGGGCTTGACCCCAGTAGGGGGTGTGCAGGAGGCAGCGGATCAATGCCATTTCTTGATGTTTCTCTCCCTCTCCCTTCCTCTTTCTAACAATCAATAAAAATATATTTTAAAGAAAGTATATGACTGCCTAACTACTATGCTGTACACCTAAAACTAATACAAATAATACTGAAAACAAAAAGAAGGGTAAGAATTGAACTGAGGATTAGTACAAAGATAACTTCATAGCTATTAACATTTTTGTTCTTTCAAGAGAAAAAGGGAAATATTAAAAAGCAAACATGATCCCTAACTGGTTTGGCTCAGTGGACAGAGCGTCGGCCTGCGGACTGAAGGGTCCCAGGTCTGATTCTGGTCAAGGGCATGTACCTGGGTTGCGGGCAAATACCCAGTAGGGAGTGTGCAGGAGGCAGCTGATCGATGTTTCTCTCATCGATGTTTCTAACTCTCTATCCCTCTCCCTTCCTCTCTATAAAAAAGTCAATAAAATATATATTTAAAAAAAAAAAAAGCAAACATGAGCCCTAGCTGGTTTGGCTTAGTGGATAGAGCATCAGCCTGCGGACTGAAGGGTCCCAGGTTTGATTCCGGTCAAGGGCACATGCCTGGGTTGCGGGCTCAATCCCCAGTAGGGGAGGCAGCCGATCAATGATTCTCTCTCATCATTGATGTTTCTATCTCTCTCTCCCTTTTCCTTCCTCTCTGAAATAAAAAAAATTTAAAAAAAAAGCAAACATGACAGAAAGTTTTAGGCATTCATTAGTGATAGTAGATACTTTTTGCTGTATTATTCTCTTCTTTGTCTCAACTTAAATTTTTTCACAATAGAAAACATTTCATATGTTCATCACTGTTTAAAATTTTTCAAAAATGCTGTTTTAAATAGTGTGTACATACAAGGAGTGGTAACACTGCACATCTCAACAGTACAAGCAACGTGGGCAGCCTGTTTCCCATTTGGCTCTACTGACACGCGCTCTTCACCTGTTACCAAGTCACATGGCACACCCTAGGATGACAAAGAAACCTGGAATTACTTTCACTTTGAAAAGAAATTTTGAATGTTTGATAAAGTATTCTCTCCATTATGATCAAATTTATTTGTCAAATACCTGAAACAAAATATTCTCGATCCTTTAACAAATATTTTTAATAAAAAATAAAAGCTGAAATCTTATTGTTTGTGACAGCATTTTATTACAAAACCTACATAAAACTTGGAAACACCTCAAGGCAGCTAAATTCTCCGGTAACAAAAGCATGAGAAATTATAGGAGTTTCACTTTTTAACTTTGTATGTTTCTATACTATTTCAGTTTAATAATTTAAAATGAACATGAATTATTTCTATATTCAAAAATATTATAAATAAAATTTAAAACTGTACAGTCTTCCCAATATAATTCCTTGAGAAAGACCAATATCAATGCTATGGTGTATCAGAGTGATCAACCACCCTGGTTCGCCCAGGACTGAGGTGTTCCCAAGGGTGAAGGACTTCTGGTGCTAAATCTGGGAAACTCCAGGCCAACTGGACAGCTGGTCTCCCCAGTGGCCTGAAACTAATCATGAGGCAACATCAGACATATCCAAACTGAGGGACGGTTTACAACACAACTGACCTGTAGTCGTCTTCCAAAATGTAAAGGTTACGAAAGACAAAGGAAGACCAAGAAATTGCCTCAGATTAATAGAAACTAGAGATATGAGAATGAAAAAAGTGTGAGTCCCTGAACAGAACCTGGAGGTGGGGGCAGTGAAGGCAAGGGGGAGTATTGTTATTGGACAACTGGCAAAACTTGAACATAGAGTATGGATTTAATAACAGTAGTCTATCAATACCAAATGACCCGCTTTGGATAAATATCCTGCGGTTATATAAAGAAAGTCTTTGGTCTGAGGAAATACTTTTTAAGTATTTATGGATAAAGAGATAATTATGTAGGAAAATTACATAAATTATTCAGAACAAAAAAATAGAGAATACAAATTACCTACCAAAACTGGTTTATCCCACATTACAGTCATAATAAAACAATGAACCAAATTTTAGCCCATTTAGTAAAACAATGCCTTAGACCACAGGGCATTCAGTCCTTTTCAGGTTTGAAAAGGTGGCTTCAGTCTTTGTCATTGGTTCTAGTTGACAGTATCAGAGGGCTAATCTAACAAAGGGTAAATTAAACATCCTAACAGAGTAGTGGTTAACTCTGAGGGGCAAAGGAGGGGTTCACAGAGTTTCAACTATATCAATATTTTATTTCTTAAAAAAAAGTAAATAAAACAAGTATGGCAAAATGTTAGAATCTGACAGGAATTGGGTAGTGAGTTCAGATTATTTGCGTTATTCTCAGCATATCTCTGAATATGTGAAATATTCTGTAACAACGTATTTCATTCATTCTAATACACACATTATTACAGGATACATCTTAACAACTGATGGCATGTCAGAGTTCACTTGGCAGTTCTTATTTCTCAACTGTACATAAAATAACGGCATATCTTACAACTGATGGCTTCTTAGGTACAATGAAATATGGCAATTTTTGTTAATGAAGGGCATACTACATATGCACTCCACCTTCCCATCTTCCTTGTTACCCAACTCCCACACACAAAATTAACAAGGAGCAATTATTTGGTAATATACTGACCTCAGCATTACTCTTTTCGAAGATCTCATGTGCCAGTAATTTTAAAGGACCACAATACACTCCAGATTTTGCTGACAAGTATTTCTGGATTGCATGGTAAGTCTTTCCACTGTTTGTGGGGCCTGAATGGAATATTACCTTCCGCTGTATGGCTCTGGCTTCTGGGTACCTAAAACATAAGTAGGCAAACAGCTTAACCTTATTAATTTCAAAATCCATCTTGGCAAAGTTCCCAACTGAAAAAAATTCCATTGAAACATTCTCTTAACATTTACAAGGTAACATCTTTTAAAAAATTAACTAAATGACACGTGTCATATCGACACTAAAATAATGACTGCTTTCCAAGAATGACATTTACTAACTAGAGGACAGAAAAATCCAAATGCAAATTAATTTCTTGAATATTTTTACCACTGTACAAATCCTTTTCCCTCTGTAGTTACTTAAAATAAATTTAAACTACTATTAGCTCCATAGGTATGTTCACATCACTTCCACAGCTCTCAACACGTGACATTATAAGCAAATATTCCCAGGCTTCTGAATTTCAATGTATACAATATAATGACTGAGTCTTCTGTTTCTGGCCATGAGTGGTACTGGACTTGCCCTCCCACCATAAACAAGTACAAAACTGGACAAAATATATGCAGCAGCTGCTTGGGGACATGGACAACAGGCAGTGCAGGACTGCAGGCCCTAGAAGAAGGGAACACTTGAGATGAGCCCTACTGCACCCAGTAGGAAATAAGGAGGTGGAACCCAAGCAGAGTATGATGGTCCCACTGAGCTGAGCAGCCGAGATCAAATTCTCCATGGCTGAAGCAGCTGAAAGTTAAAGAACAGAGTGTGGAAGGAAAAAGGGTGCAGTAAAGAGGGAGACTTGGAGCCTGTGTGGGAGCTCCCTGTGGGTCCTTGGCCCAGGGCTGGGCTGAACATGGGCAGCACCTAGCAGAGAATAGCTTGCTAAGGGTCTGAGCAGACAATCTCAATGAGGTGGCAAAGTACTAGGAGACATTGGAGTTCTGCAACAGTGGTTGTGAGAGAGCTCATTACCACCCCAGGCACTCAGCAGAGACACCAAAAAGGCCACACCTGAATGACAAGGACAACACCCTAAGGTGAGGGCTACTGTAGATATGCAGTAATAAGTCTTAAAACCGAGCTGGCAGGATAAGGGGAGACAGCAGTTGATTGCCTGCCAGAATTAACAGCCTTTTCCTAGGGAAAACACAATCTAGACTCCTCATATCTTACCATCCAGAATATAATTTAAAAAAATAATAATCTCCCAAGATTAGAAACTGAAAATTTCAAATCCACAAATGAAGAAACTAACCAATTAGGTGGTATTCTTAAGTCACTGATTTTACGTAGATCATCCTTACATTCCAACACGGGAAATATCTGTTTTGCATGTCTCAAGAAAAATGGAAATAAATCATCCACATGAGCTGGAAAACAAAACACTGCATTAACAGGTGCAATCTACATGTTAGCCATAACTACACTTTTTTCGTAATGAGCTAAGTTTCAGGGACATTACCAGGATAAAAAGAAAAACCTTGGAGCAAGGAACTCTACCCTTTTCTGAGATCTGCTTTGTCTTACATGTTCCTCCCAATTTCACTTATACTTTCTAGGAAAAGAGAAAATTGGTTGCTATCCACCATGTTCTACTCATCCAATGCAAGGAGGTAAAGGTCAGCATTGGTAAAAGTTAAATTAAAAAATAAAGAACCTGGAAATATACATTAGAAAGAAGGCCTGTGGTTCAAGAAATGCAGGTGCAAACACTTGTTAAACTAGAGACCACTGTAAAACATGAATGTGAACTGATTTCTCAGCAAGAAGTCTCCACACCTTAGTGGCTCTGAGGGTGAGGCTGTGGCCCACTCTGCTTTGTATCCAGGTTCTACCTCAGTTCCTGGCACAGAGTAAAGGTCTAATAATCAAATACATTTAAAATATATAATCAAAACCAAGCTGCCTATGGGAACAAAATAATGATGGTCTTACTTTTTTTCTTTTACGGCAAGAACTCTGTCCTGATGCAGTAAAGAAACAGTGGCAGAAACAGATGGAATCTGCTATGCATTAATTCTACCTTGTATGAGAGTTCATCCCACTGGGGCCTATATTAGCACATAGTGAAGAGCAGATAGTAACAGATCACACCTGCCTCCAGTCTAAGACATATGGGGGATTTAATAACTAGCTCAGGGACCCAATATAAAAGCAACAGGACCCAGACAGCCTCCTATGCAAGCACTAAATTATTTACAGAAAATGTTAATAGGGCCTATTTTACACAAATAAACCCCGACTACAGAAATAAACATGAAGGAAACAGAAAGTATGTTCAACAGGATTTTTAAAAATCTCTATAAACACTTGCCTGCACTGAAGCAAATATCATTCAAAATAATGTGAATGTCCACATCCAAGGAATGAGACTGCAGGATATAATTTCTAAAGCTTATGAAAGCTTGGTGGAAGAGACGAGCTGCAGGAAATACAAAATCAAAATAGGCAGGGCTTAGTTTTCATCCATTTGCCATTTTAAAAATGGCACATCACACCTAATTAATCAAAGTGTCCTTTTTTTTTTAGTTTATCAGATCTGGGCCAAAATTGAAATCCTAGCACATGAAGGAAAGCTGAACACACAGCTCTTTGCTATATGTCTGGCTCACCACGTACACCTCGCCAATCTCCTGCTCAGATAGAAGCAGAGATCAGGGACATCCTCCAATCACAACTATGTACTTACTAGAGGCCCAAAGCACGAAATTGGTGCATGG